CTGTACATGTGCCATACACGTGAATATACCATGAGGCACTCCCTTCTTCCTTATTAACCAGTGATAATCAACTTTAAAGGTTAGCATCTCCCTTTCCATGACTTTCAATGAAGCTTGCACTTAGCATTAGTGGTTACAGTGTAACTCATGCCAGAAGAAGGTAACCCAAGTCCCGTATGAAGAGTCGGCATACAAGCTCTATCCCGGCACTCATCAATTGGATGAAAGGGCCACCATTTCCCCATAACCCCCAGTCTGGGTGCACTAGCAGTCATTCTGCCAATGTAGGTATTAGGTTGGCCATATGAACATTTGCCATCTTCACTCATGTCGTTTCTTCATTAAAAAAAAACGCTTTCATTAAATTGTCATTACATTGGAAGTACAGACAAATTAACTTCAAAGTTTCAAACCGTTCTGAGCTCTTTTTCCAGAAAGAACTAATGACTTCTACCTAGAGCAAAAAGTTGCTTCTAGCTTGAAAAAACCCAGAGCAGCCCAAAAGGCCCAATTGCTTTTTATGTACTACTGATTTAATGACAATTTGTAGGGAGAAATGACTTTTTCTGGAGAAACATCCGGTGGGGATAGAAAATGTTCACATGATTTAATGCCTTGTGGTTGCCAGAAAAGGAACCATGCTAGCACAAGGCCCACATTAAAGTGTGTGCGCTCCTACACTGAAGGGAATTTATCAAAACGAGCAGATGTGCACGGCAAACCAATAAGCTTCTCTCTTTCATTTTCAGAAAAACATAGACAGCGCTCTCAGATGGGGAATGCTAGCCAGCGTACATGTATGCTGCCCTGGAAACAGGAGGAGTACCTGTAGATGCAGATAAACAAAGGAAAAAGGAGGGCGCAAAAACACAGAAATGGAGCACTAGCGGGTTGGACTGGGGTGTGTATCACAAAAATTGTACTGCTAAGGAATTGTTGGCAGAGAATGAATGTAATGGTACTTACATGTGGATCCAGGAATCAGGATGTGGGCGGCCTGTGCGGAGGATCTGGACTCTCGTGGTGTCTGTTGATGTGCTGTTTGGGAGGATTCGTCTACCAGGGAGAGATGCTGTGGAAGGAGAGAGGCCACTCTGTTCGTGATGTTGCTGAAGGGGTGTTGGCTCTGGGCAGTGTGATGGAGAGTCAAGAGGAACCCAAAAGTAGCGAGCCCAAACTGAGCTACTGTGACCGCGGTAGTGAGGGACGGCACTCGGTCTGTGTCAAGTCAGCTGAGGGCGCTGTGCAGGAGTTGGTATGCGAGCGCAGCTGACAGATCCCGGGTGATCGGCTTAGTGAAGCCTTAGCAGTACAATTTTTGTTATACACACCCCAGTCCAACCCGCTAGTGCTCCATTTCTGTGTTTTTGCTCCTTTGTTTATCTCTTTCATTTTCAAATCTTAACTGAAGAGAGAAACTGATTGGTTGCCACACACAGCTGCTCCAGATTTTTTTTGCTCCAGTGTTGATAAATTCCCCCCTCTCTGTTTCCAAGTTGGCCATACAGCAGAATTCTGTGGGTTCTTCCGGAGTCTGACCCCAATCTGTCAGCTGTGGTGAATCTTTAGATCAGGGGTGGGCAACTCCAGCCCTCCAGCTGTGCTTTAACTACAAAACCTAACATGCCTCTGGGAGTCATGCCTGTAACTGTCAGCCTTGCAATGCCTCATGGGACTTGTAGTTCTACAACAGCTAGAGGGACACAGCTCATAAAAAGCACTCACAATCACTTGCTCCAGACAGAGTAGTCACTGCGCGTTGGCTGGTCTCATCGTGCTGGATCCCTGCTAAGAGGGGTGTTAACTTCTCCTGTTGCTTTCTGTTTACACACAGCAGTCAGCCCTGAGGAAGGGAATGTAGCGCTCTGAAATGTGTTGGGTTACCATTAGATTTTCAATAGAATATTTTACATGATTAGGTAGATTGGAAGAAGCGCCGGTCTCTTTATTCACATTGGCAATGAGCTTTGCCTCTCTAAATCGAGCGAAGTGCTCGTTATTCTACATTCATTCTTGCCTGGTAACATGGAACGTTGCCACAGTAACCCAGCAGCCCTGTTTTGTAACTAAGCTCTCTGTGGTAACAAACATGAACATCCATCTTTGTGTAACTGCAGTCACCATTGTATACGTACAAATGTCATAATTTCTCATGAAGAACTGGATATTATATTTATGGGGCAAGACACGCCTTCATTTTAAGATGTACCCCATTACAAACAAGCCACACCTACTTTCATTTTTGTGCAGCTTAAAAAAAGCTCTTATTATTTATAGAAATGTAGGACTTGTCCAAACTATAAAACTGAGCCAAACTACCAAATCTCATATGGCACATGAAAAGCATTTGTAGTCTGTTTCTATGGCAGAAGAGGAAGCAAAAACAAAACATTTGGACTGGTATCGGTTGAGCATATGCCTATGGCAGTGATGGCGAACCTTGGCACTCCAGCTGTTTTGGAACTACAAGTCCCATGAGGCATTGCAAGGCTCTGACAGCCACAGACATAACTCCCAGAGGCAGATGCATGTTGGGATATGTAGTTTTGGCAACGCTGGAGTGCCAAGGTTCGCCACCACTGGCCTATGGACCAAGCACCAGTCATTAGTTACACATGACAAATATTTCCTTGAGCAAATTGACGTACTGCCAAGTGGACTTGTCTTCCCTCTTGACATTTGCTGCTTTTGCTCTTCCAAAGGCTTTCTGGCAAAGTCGGAGAATTTCACCAATTGCTTCCAACATGATGAATGGCTCCTCACCAGGGTCGTGCAAATTTCCCTTGTCCATATAGGTCATATTCTTTGTACAGGATGTAGTCCTTTAAGGGGTTTGGTAGAGGAAGGAATGACATAAAAACAGGACAGCGCAGGTGAAGCCGCCCCATACTTTTCCTAATCCTCAAACGGCACAGATGCTTCAATGAGCGTGGATTGGCTGGAAAACAACATATAATGCATGTGAAGTCTTCAGATAGTCTGATATCATGTTTCTAATATTATCACATATCCTAGTAAGTGTCCCTGTAATGCACGGAATCTGTCCGCGTAATGCACGGAATCTGTCCCTGTAATGCACGGAATCTGTCCGCGTAATGCACGGAATCTGTCCGCGTAATGCACGGAATCTGCCCGCGTAATGCACGGAATCTGCCCGCGTAATGCACGGAATCTGTCTTGGCAGAGAATGAATGTAATGGTACTTACATGTGGATCCAGGAATCAGGATGTGGGCGGCCTGTGCGGAGGATCTGGACTCTCGTGGTGTCTGTTGATGTGCTGTTTGGGAGGATTCGTCTACCAGGGAGAGATGCTGTGGAAGGAGAGAGGCCACTCTGTTCGTGATGTTGCTGAAGGGGTGTTGGCTCTGGGCAGTGTGATGGAGAGTCAAGAGGAACCCAAAAGTAGCGAGCCCAAACTGAGCTACTGTGACCGCGGTAGTGAGGGACGGCACTCGGTCTGTGTCAAGTCAGCTGAGGGCGCTGTGCAGGAGTTGGTATGCGAGCGCAGCTGACAGATCCCGGGTGATCGGCTTAGTGAAGCCTTAGCAGTACAATTTTTGTTATACACACCCCAGTCCAACCCGCTAGTGCTCCATTTCTGTGTTTTTGCTCCTTTGTTTATCTCTTTCATTTTCAAATCTTAACTGAAGAGAGAAACTGATTGGTTGCCACACACAGCTGCTCCAGATTTTTTTTGCTCCAGTGTTGATAAATTCCCCCCTCTCTGTTTCCAAGTTGGCCATACAGCAGAATTCTGTGGGTTCTTCCGGAGTCTGACCCCAATCTGTCAGCTGTGGTGAATCTTTAGATCAGGGGTGGGCAACTCCAGCCCTCCAGCTGTGCTTTAACTACAAAACCTAACATGCCTCTGGGAGTCATGCCTGTAACTGTCAGCCTTGCAATGCCTCATGGGACTTGTAGTTCTACAACAGCTAGAGGGACACAGCTCATAAAAAGCACTCACAATCACTTGCTCCAGACAGAGTAGTCACTGCGCGTTGGCTGGTCTCATCGTGCTGGATCCCTGCTAAGAGGGGTGTTAACTTCTCCTGTTGCTTTCTGTTTACACACAGCAGTCAGCCCTGAGGAAGGGAATGTAGCGCTCTGAAATGTGTTGGGTTACCATTAGATTTTCAATAGAATATTTTACATGATTAGGTAGATTGGAAGAAGCGCCGGTCTCTTTATTCACATTGGCAATGAGCTTTGCCTCTCTAAATCGAGCGAAGTGCTCGTTATTCTACATTCATTCTTGCCTGGTAACATGGAACGTTGCCACAGTAACCCAGCAGCCCTGTTTTGTAACTAAGCTCTCTGTGGTAACAAACATGAACATCCATCTTTGTGTAACTGCAGTCACCATTGTATACGTACAAATGTCATAATTTCTCATGAAGAACTGGATATTATATTTATGGGGCAAGACACGCCTTCATTTTAAGATGTACCCCATTACAAACAAGCCACACCTACTTTCATTTTTGTGCAGCTTAAAAAAAGCTCTTATTATTTATAGAAATGTAGGACTTGTCCAAACTATAAAACTGAGCCAAACTACCAAATCTCATATGGCACATGAAAAGCATTTGTAGTCTGTTTCTATGGCAGAAGAGGAAGCAAAAACAAAACATTTGGACTGGTATCGGTTGAGCATATGCCTATGGCAGTGATGGCGAACCTTGGCACTCCAGCTGTTTTGGAACTACAAGTCCCATGAGGCATTGCAAGGCTCTGACAGCCACAGACATAACTCCCAGAGGCAGATGCATGTTGGGATATGTAGTTTTGGCAACGCTGGAGTGCCAAGGTTCGCCACCACTGGCCTATGGACCAAGCACCAGTCATTAGTTACACATGACAAATATTTCCTTGAGCAAATTGACGTACTGCCAAGTGGACTTGTCTTCCCTCTTGACATTTGCTGCTTTTGCTCTTCCAAAGGCTTTCTGGCAAAGTCGGAGAATTTCACCAATTGCTTCCAACATGATGAATGGCTCCTCACCAGGGTCGTGCAAATTTCCCTTGTCCATATAGGTCATATTCTTTGTACAGGATGTAGTCCTTTAAGGGGTTTGGTAGAGGAAGGAATGACATAAAAACAGGACAGCGCAGGTGAAGCCGCCCCATACTTTTCCTAATCCTCAAACGGCACAGATGCTTCAATGAGCGTGGATTGGCTGGAAAACAACATATAATGCATGTGAAGTCTTCAGATAGTCTGATATCATGTTTCTAATATTATCACATATCCTAGTAAGTGTCCCTGTAATGCACGGAATCTGTCCGCGTAATGCACGGAATCTGTCCCTGTAATGCACGGAATCTGTCCGCGTAATGCACGGAATCTGTCCGCGTAATGCACGGAATCTGCCCGCGTAATGCACGGAATCTGCCCGCGTAATGCACGGAATCTGTCCGCGTAATGTCCGCGTAGAAATTATTTTACTGGTAATACTGTTACGCATACATTCAGGACCAGATTTTTTCTTTCCTGCACCCCTAGACACACTGCAATGTGATACCCCCCTTATGAGCACAGTCATGGTACAATCACCATGGCTGCAGTGTGCCCATGTCATGTGAACTACAAACTGCACAGGTACAGCAACATTGTTGAAGTCATTAAGAGATACTAAATCTGATCTGTCCAACGTCTGGCAGTTGTTTGCTCAGCACGTACAATTCCACCATTCATAACATAGGACAAGAAAGTACACTTTATGAACAAAAGTTTGTGGACATCAGACCATTACACCTATATGAGCGTGTTGGACACCCGTATTGAAACCATGGACATTATTATGGAGTTGTCCCACTCCCTTTGCAGCTATAACGGCCTCCATTCATCTGGGAAGACTTTTCACAAGATGTTTGAGTGTGTCTGGGGGACTTTGTGCTCATACAGCCAAAAAAACATTTGAGAGGTCATGTATAGCTGTTGGAAGACCAGACCTGGCTCACATTCCATGTTTAAAGGTGTTCAAGAGAGTTGTAGCCAGGGCTCTTTGCAGGCCACCCAGGTCCTCAACACCAAATTCATCAAACCATGTCTACTATGAATGGATCTAGGCTTGTGCACAGAGGCACAGTCACGCTAAAAGAGCCTTTCTCAAACCGTTGCCACATGTTTTAGGGCCCGTTCACACCAGTCAGGTCTGCTGCTTTGAACACATGCCAGTTAATATGCATTGTGTTAATGCAGCTCAGTTATTTCAATGGCCTGCCTAACCCATCACAACAGACCTCACATTGAAACAGTACTTGAAGTGCACAGTCATCTAAAATATTTCTGTATGCTGTAGCAGTATTTGTTTCCCAAGTCAAAGCTTGTTAGAAATGTTCAGTAAATATGAAATCCTTAATCAAACATACCCATGATGCTTTCTGCAGTGTTTTCATTTATGTTCTGCCTGTGTATGCAGTGTATGTGCTACATTCACTGCATACCTCTGTCAATAACTGTCACAGTTGCCAGTGTGCCTATGTCGGCTCTCAATAGAGGCTAAGATGGCACCATCCTTGGCAGATAGGAGGGTTTAGTTCTGCATTAACCTTACCTTTTACTGGGAGCACCTAAAGTCTGTTCAGAAGCGTGTTAACTGATTTTTGGCCATATGCTGTAGTCACAGTGTATGAGTGGCTTGAGTCAAGTGATCACTGCAAAAGCTCATCAAAGGTTTAATGTGACACATGTGTGTTTCCTCTGTCAGGCTTTGAAGCCTGCAGGCTGAGCCCCATTGGTTAATACAACTCAGGTGACAGGTGCAGGGAATGAATGCATACAAAACATCAGAACAATGTATTTTTGCCCAGGCCATATAACAATAGACTTGGAGTATAGAGTTACTAACTACATGAAACCCTTACTGACTGGATGTTGGCCATCTGACAGCTAAATGACGAGTGAGAGAAGAAAAGCCACTTATGAGAAACTATCTGTACATAAGAACGAAATAAGTATAATGAGTCTCTTTTACGTCCAAACGTCCAATAATATATTCAAAAAAATAGAAGATTACTTACTTGCTATGTAGTGGATTTCTGGCCAGAGTTTCTGCTTCATAAGAGCTTCTTTCAACTTAGAGCAAAACTCCACATGGTCAAGATAGTCTAACATGACCCGGACCACATTACCAGAGAGGTGCCGGAGCCAAGTCAGGGTTATGACCTCGCAGAACTAAACAAAGGAAATGACAGGTGTAAGTAACAGATTACAACCCAATCTATTGCTGTCTGGAACTGTGCCACCAAGAGTCACAACCGTGAAAAGACTATACCTAAGTGATTAAATGTCCATAATCACAAATGAGGAAAGCTCATCCAAAAGAGTACCTGTGAATGTTTGCTTTTACAAGAAAAGGATCATGTCCAAGGTCTGTAGTAACTCGAGGAGATCAAAGATGGTAAATTGCAGAAAATAAGGACAGTGAAAGGAAATCCCTCAGTCAAAACTATGCAAAGAGGAACATGGAATGTTCAGTTGTGTGTATCTACTCTACCACGCAACTGTTGTCCTCACCTCTGATGCTCAAGTTCTTATACGCAATTCTCCTAAAAGAAACATGGAGTTTGGCCTTTCCTTATATAAAATAAAAACTAGTTGCCTGTCTAAACAACCTGCTTCATTGAGTCACTGGCCTGGCCTGGAATAAGTGTGACGTAAAGAATACTGACTTTCCTGTTCTGTTTATGTGTTTTGGGTCATTCGTTCAGAATATATTGAAGCCATCCGGTCAGCATAACAGCTAAACAGGTAGAACTTTTGGGATGTCAGCAATGGCAGCCACGTATTTCTGTCATGATGTGCTACATTAGGGCTTTTGTACTGAACATACGAAGAACATAAAATGAGGCTCTGACCACTACACCCAATTATCACCATAACAGCTTTCCTTATAAGATGCTAAACTCTTACCTGCCATCTCCCAATCATTAGAAACACTCTACTCCAAGAGGCAACTGAATCCCTGAACATCTCAGCCTATCACAGGGTGACATTGAGATCATTCTTAGACCCCAAGCCTACAATCCTTTCTACTGGGCCTAAATACATGAACTCCTTTCTATCTTATCTGTGAGCAATCAGTTAATCTGTCTTCATTTGGTCAATCTGTTTTGTAACCGTGACACAAAAATAAATGGACAATTCTATCTAATATGACCATACCATGGTGTCCTTGATGACAGTTGGAGTCCATCCTTCATATCCACAGATATAGTGCACATTATTCCCATGAGGGCACTCAAAACATTTGAGTACATCATATCCATAGTTCATCAACATCCTTAGCATTACCTCATCCTTGAAAGCATACAGTAGGGCTGATGGAAAGTGGAGGGGGTTGACTTTACACACATAGTTCACATTGGCTCCATGGCGGAGCAGCAGGTTAACCAGCTCGTAGTTCCCCATTCGTAATGCCACCTGCAGGCAGTTAACAGGGTCTTGGTTTGGAAGAGCTCCAGCATTGAGGAGGAGCGTTGCTGAGGGAATATCACTGTTCGAGACAGCAAAGTACAAGGCGGACTTCCTCTCATCATCATAGCCCTTGCGGACCCTCTGGGCCAGCATGAAATTTACATCAAATCCAGATCTGAGGAGAAGGTCCAGGCACTCCGGGTGTCCACCGGCCGCTGCTGAATGAACGGGGCTTATGCCACTTCTTTTTATTGTAGAAATGTCTGTAACTGGGATCAGCAAACGTAGAGCTCTGTGAGTGAAAGACACAACAGAGGTCACATTAATATAAGGGTTTAACACTATGTGACTAAAATTTTATTTATACAAAAGGTCATATACTGCTTGTATTGTATATATACAGTCGCATATACAGACAATTTAAAGGAGCCAATTCAGGTTTGTTAACACCTTAAGAGCAAATCATGCGGAAATGTGTTGATTTTCATATCTTTTTGTAGCTTTTATTACATATAAATAAAAGTGATGTGATTTTAAATGATTGTCTACATTCTACATATAACTCAATTGTATCACATCTATTTCATTTAGATCTATTTTTTATACAGTGGGGAGTGTTGGGCTCCCTGCAATGGTTTTCTTCTTGTTTACTATTGTCTGCAACCCCTTTAAGGGGAGATTTCCTCGTACTTCCTGTGCGGTCACCGCAACAGAAAGTGAATAGAAACTCTTTGTGAGAGATCAGAGGAGTTAGAACCTGTGTGAAGCTTTATTGCTGTCTGCGTCTCCATTGAGGTCTATCCTTCTTGTGTGGTCTTCAGAACAGGAAGTGAAGGGATACCTTCCAAGAGAGGACACGGAGAGCAGTAAAACTTTTTTTTTTTCAAATTCTTTATTTATAGACAAAAAGGGTGGGGTACAATGCATGGGAGCTCACGCGAAGGCCACATGGTCTCGCAAACTAACAAAACAACGGACAGTGCGGCTCTTAATACAAACATGGTAACATGTGATATCAGGTCCAGTAATCACATTTGTCCCCGCCCTTAATGCAATTTTTAGGTGAATTAACGTAAAACCAACATTAATGTCAGGGTGAGCTGTTGGGCCCAGCCCCACATTATGGGCGGCCAAGCCCCCCACGATCACCCCCCGACAGCACATAAAAGACTAACAGAGACAAACACTGAAACATAGAGCGAAAGTAGAACAAAACTGAGGGAGAAGGGGAACTAGAATATGAGACCAAGTCCAACGCCCCGGCGGCCCCCGGTCTACTCAACCCTCCATAATGGGTGGCCCAGACTGGCAGAAACTCAATCTCCGGCGTCCACCCCACACATCGCTGCGAAGGCTGCCGACCCCGTGAACATTACCCAAGCGCCCCAGGTAGCCACATATTTGGACTGTGACTCCCGTAGACTAGCTGTCAAATCCTCCATCCGTCTAATCTCCTCCACCCGCCGCACCCACATGCCCACCGAAGGAGGGCGGGTTTGTCGCCATAAGACTGGTATGCAGGCTCTGGCCGCGTTCAGCAAGTGGATCAACAGCGATCGTTTATAGGCTTTTCGGGAGAGTGGTGCCAGGTGGAGAAGATAGAACGACGGCGTGAAGGGCAGTATATGGCCTGTGATATCTGTTATCGCAGATGCAATTCCGGGCCAGAATGGCTGAACCTTCGGGCAATCCCAGAAGACATGAAGCAGGGAACCCTCTTCGGACTCACAACGCCAGCACATCGGGGACACCGCAGGATACATAACATGTAGGGTCGCATGGATAAGGTGCAGTACACATGGCTACCAATCAGAATTCATCTTGAAGTGGTCTACCTTTACTTAGGTGAAATGTAATTGGTTGTTAGGGGGCACTGCATATTACTCCTGCCTGTTTGTTTTAGTCATATGAGGTACATGATGACACCTGGGTGGTTTCTAGGAGATAAGAGAATTTCTGAAAAGTTTGATCCATTGTAATTACAAAAATGTATTAAAAAGTTTGTGAACTGGAATTCGAAATTTCCAAACCTGTTGTCCCATTGAAGTCAATGAAAACCTGCATCAGGCTCCAAAAAAGTGTTTACTACAGATCAAACAAACAATGTCAAATTGTGCAGAATGGTTAGCGATGCTCCTGGATGTTGAGATGCCACAAAAACACAAGCCACTTCCTTTAAAATTTCTACCAGGGATACTAAAATAGAAGGTTGGGACCTGGTGGCTCTGGCAGTCAGGCTAAGGAAGCCCAGGCAATAGCAGAAGCAGATATGATACATTCACAGCCTTTGTTCACCCTCTGTCCTTATACTCACAAGAGATGTCCTCTGTAGGCTGCCCTGTGTATAGGTAAGTGTCCAGAGTGCTTCGGTATATTGGCCTCGGCTCCGTATTCCAGGAGCAGTGACACAGCATCTGGATTACCGGCGGAAGCAGCTTCAAAGAGGATTGATGCGGAATCGGATGCTTGGGCCAGAACACTGGCTCCTATTAGCGGCAAAATAAACTATGTAGCATATATTAGGTATTATTATCATTAGGCAGGATTGATATAGGGTCAACAGTTTGTGTAGCGCTTTTCAAAATATGGGGGGACAGAACAGTTACAATACAATACAATACAATACAAAAGGATTAGAAGGACACTGCTGGTTAGAGCAATCTACAAGGAGGGGCAGGTGATACAGAAGGTAATAACTGTAAGGGATAAGCTGATTGAAGGAGTAGATGTTCAGTTTTTAGGTGGAGATGGAATAGTCTTTCCTGAAGAGGTGAGTTTTCAGGGATCGCCTAAAGGCAGACAGAGCAGGAGATAGCCAGATAGGTTCTGATAGGAAGTTCCAGAGGATGGAAGAGGCTCTGGAGAAGTCCTGGAGGTGAGCATGGGAGGAGGTGATGAGGGAACTAGAGAGCAGGAGGATTGGGGAAGAGTGGAGAGGATGGTTTGGGTTATTAAGTAAAAAGATACCTGTAATTTGGATAGGTATAGGTGACATCTGCGTGTTTACATCAAATAAACACTAACTTTTTCTTTTTATCAAAGCTGGATTTACCATTAGGCACAGGAGGTCTATGCCCATAGGTGGCAGAGGGGTAAAAAAGTGGCTTTTCCCTTAATAGTTATTAGCCACACATTTTTCAGTAGAAATAGTCATACTCATAATATACTAAATCAGGTTAGGACCAGTAAACCACAGAAATGATCTTTATTAAACTCAATCCCAGTGTCTATTTTATCTCAGCTTCTGTTGAACAGGTAGAGCATTGTAGTGGCTATTCTATTCTCCTTCTAGTAGTCTTGTTGTAGGTCATGGTTGTAAAATCAGGAGCCTTGACTATTGTAGGGCTGCAGCTAACGATTATTTTAAAAATCGATTAGTTAGCAGATTATTGTTTGATTAATCGGTTAATCGGATTTAAAAAAAAATGGCTCCAGTGATGGACTACTAGTTTGTATTGAGATTGTAGTGCATCATGGGAGCATGCTTGGAGCGGTGGAAGTAAAAAACAAAAGTGTGGTGTGCAATATAGTGAAATGTAAAGTGTAAAATTATACAGCAATGAATGCAGAATGGCACCGGCTATAGAGGGCTACAAATCCCAACAATAATACATTATACAGCAATGCAGAATACCACCAGCTATAGAGGTGTGCGCGGCGTGCTGCTCGGGTCGTGTGTGGAGCCGCAAACAGGGTGAACAAATCCCAGCAATAGTACATTATAGCTGGCGGTATTCTGCATTTCGCTGTATAATGCATTTGCTGGGATTTGTTGTATTCCTCTATAGCTATAGAGGTATACAACAAATCCCAGCAATACAATAAACATACAGTGTAGAATGTATTGCTGGGATTTGTATTCCTCTATAGCTGATGGTACATATACAGCGCAATGTACCATCAGCTATAGAGAATACAACAGTTCCCACTATCCCAGCAATACATTTTTAAAAAACTACCGCCATGTGGGGGGGCAGGCACTTTTACTTTTAGATGCGAGATTGTGAGCCTGTCAGGTGCCATTCCCCCTTGATCGTTGGCGGGCAGCGGCGCGTCAGGGAGCTCAGAGCGGGGAGGAGAGGAGAAGAGGCTGTCGTTTGGTGCGCGGAATGCGGCTCGGGTCGTGTGTGGAGCCGCAAGCAGAGTAAACTAATCATTGATTTTGATCGACTACATCGATTAGTTGTTGCAGCTCTAGACTATTGCGTCTATAAATGTATAGTACAGTGTAAATTTGTATATCTGGCCTGGGAGTATACTGTAGATATTAAAGCCTTAGGTCATACCCTAAAGAGGACCCTATCCTGAATGATATTCAGACCCCAGATAAGACTATTCAGGTCTGAAAGCATTGGCCCCACATTTCATATATGAGCAACTTTCTGATACTGATGCAAATTAGTTTTCATCACTCCAGCATACTCCAGTCCATATTCTTGGGCAGTTGATGACACCAAACGTCTTCCAATGTATGTAAATGTTCATTACAAGCTTCCAGAACGTCATCACTGCTTGTGAAGGTGATTGCACCTTGAGCACCTCATTAGTCTTCCTGGTCATACAACAAAACAAGGAGCCAGCCGCCTTGTTCTGGTTATATGTTTGGACATCTGACCAATACATGGTTGTGTAAGGTGTGATTGAGAAGCTTTGTTGTTACCTTTAATAATGAGGAGCTCCATGACATCTGTGTGTGCTTGCTGTGCAGCCAAGGCCAGTGGTGTAAACCCAAAGTTACTGGCAGAGTCAGGGTCAGCCCCAGACTGAAGCAAAAAGCGCGTAATGTCCTTGCGGCCCAGTTTTGCTGCTTCGTGGAGAGCTGTTCTGTTATCAGCACATCGTAAGTCTACACTTGCATTGTGACGCAATAACAAAGACGCAATGTCATAAGACCCATGACGTATTGCTGAAAAAATAAAAGAGCCGTTTTTGGCATAAACCATATATACTAATAAATATACTATTAAAGGGTAACTATGGTATAAAAAAAATAAGCTAAAAATAAATCTGTATATCTATATAGAATTTCCATAAGTTCTATCCCACTCCTAAAAAATATATCACTCTAGAAGTTTGTAAACTTATTGAAGATGCCCATAGGATTTATTTCCTCAATGCAATGACACAATTTCACTCAGCACTGTGAATATGCACTTCCTTGTGTAAAAATCTCACACAGCTTGCCTTCTGAACTACAACTCAACATCTGAACAATGTAACACTATCAGTGCTTGCTGGAAGCAATGCATGATGGAATATGTAGTCTTGAGCAATCAGGACTGTATCACATCAAGCAGCAGGGAAAGAGACGTAAAGCACACTGGAAATCCAGGAAGTGGGTGAAAGTGATGGGGAGACAAGAAAGCAGCTCTCACTACAGAGAAGGGATTTTTTAACGTAAGCTTTGATTGCATTATCAAAAGCAACTCTACTCTGTTATCAAAAGCAACTCTAGTATGTATTCCTATTACAATGCTGATGTTATAACAGGAGAGTATGTTCTGGGACTTTACAACTCCTTTAAATATTATATGTACTACTAAAAAATATGTACTAAACATATAAAAAGAAACTGACTTGGAAGGCCTGGTTCTCTGTATTTTGGATGGAAGATATGTCTTAAAATAACACTTGCATTACCTATAACAAGGGGTGAATCCTCTGCTTCATTCTTAGCATCAGGATCACAGCCATTTGCTAGCAGGAAGGTGATGTTGTCTAGTCTACAGTTGTCCACAGCCAGGAACAGCGGGGTTTCACCTTTTAGTGTCTCCTGCTCCCAAGCACTATAACTAGAAGCTGAAATAAGATACAACGTGTCAATCATTTGTCCTGACCGAACAGGAAATCAGTTTACCTAAACACATGGACTAACATTTGAAATGTCATACTTAAGGGAGACTTCCAGCATCTATCTATATATATACTGTATAGATCAGTGGTTCTCAACCAGTGTAACCTCAGGACCCACATTTGTCCTTGGTCATTAAGTCGCGACCCAAGTTGCACTGCAATGGAACGCGCTGTACTATTGTGAACTGGCCCTCAAAAACACTGACATACATACACAACCACAGACACAATCTCACACACTCACACACTCTCACACACTCACAATCTCACATTATAACATATACACACACAAAAAAAATGTTTATTTAATTTTTTTAAGGTACACCCAGTCTCCCTACCTTACTAGAACTGGAGTGGATCCTCAGCCTGGGGTCCAGTGTGGGCTGCTGTGCTGTGACGGCGCTTCATTCCAACGTGCATTGCTTGTACAGCTCCCTTACGTGCCCTGTAGAGGTGCCGGGAGCCAGAATGTGATGTCACTCTGGTCCAGGTACCTCTATAGGACACATAAAGGAGCTGTAAGCAAAGCACGTGTGGATGAAGCTCCCTCATGGCCATAGCCCCAAGCCATCCCACCTCAAGCTGACACTGACAGTGCTGCTAGGGGAAGGCAGAGGAACCACTTACCTAGAAAAGTGGAAGGCATGCGGCGACCCACTGAATGATAGATAGATAGATAGATAGATAGATAGATAGATAGATAGATAGATAGATAGATAGATGGTATATTTTTGCTGTAAAATACCAGTGCTAAGCTTTTTTTATATTGTAAATCTATTCTGCACTCATTGTTTTTATGTTTCTCTATCGCAGGTGTGTTCGGATTCATTTTGCTGCCTGACACCAGGAAGGGGTTTTATTAAAGAATCCCTTTATTAAAATGTCAAAGCTAGCCAAACCATTACCATCATGATCAGTGGGGTATTTGTGCTGCTAGAATGATTGGGAATGCTGCTTGGCTTACAATGCCCACCAATACAGTACAAATGTGAACATTGAAAGGGAGCCTTAAGCCATACACTGGTAGATTTTGGTATGAATGTTCATATGAAAAATCTCATCAGAACATTCGATAATGCCAGCAGAGACTTGTAGAATGCCATTAGAAATTTTGTTTGATTTTAGAATGAATGGAGTTTCCCGAATGAAAACCACATTCACTGTTAGACTTCATTCATAATACAAAACTTACACTTAAACGTTATTTCCAAAATAGTTTTATTTTTCTGAGCTGCCGCCTCATGAAGTGGAGTCCATCCTCGATCGTCAGTCTCCAGGAAGGCAGAGTGCTGGTCACTTAGTTTTGTTAAAGTCTTCTCATCACCTGGAAGACATAAATAGTGTCAGTAATTAGATGCGGTGGCTGACTGGCTGTGTTAGATTTCACTTTGCAAGCTAAGAACACTTTCAGCTAGTACAGTAAAAACCAACTATTGATCTTGTTAGAAATACCTTGTCCTTGTCACTTCCTGTGAGCTGAACAAACAATATTATTTTCATTTTGTACACTACTAATCTAATGAATAGAGAAAGACATGTTTGAAGTCCAGCCTGGATGTCAACTGTGGCTCCCTCCATACAGACAGTGGAGGAGTCAGTGTAGCCACTCTAGGACAGGAAGTATTCACACAACTACCTGGTCAGGGCCGTCTTTAGCGCAGGGCAAAGAGGGCACTTACCCCGATCTACCCACCTGGGAGCTACCACAGAGCCACCACTGATTATTAGGGAGCCCCCACAGATCCCGCGCTGACCACCTGGCAGTCCGCATTGGCCACCTGCTCACTCCATTTCTGTTCTGTCCTTCATATATATGTGAATAACATGATTGATAGAATTACAATGCATGATAGTAGAAAGCCATGATTAGACATAATTAACATGATTAGATAATCAGACTTAACAGAGACATGATTGTTTGTAATTTGACATGATACAGCGTTTTTGAAGGTTTAACAGAGGAGGAGCCTAGTTTTCTCTCAACGTTTTGCGCTTAGGGGCGCTGTAATGGATGTGGTATATATTCTTCAGGAGAGGGAGGTTGTTCAGGTTAATTATGTCTAATCATGGCTTTCTACTATCATGCATTGTAATTCTATCAATCATGTTATTCACATATATTGAAGGACAGAACAGAAATTGAGTGAGCTTTTCAGGGAGATATACAATCATCTTGTCATTTTTTACATTTTTTTTTCTTGGTGGGTGGCCCCGAGGGGGCCCAAGAAAATGTTTGCCCAGGGTCCGATCAATATTAAAGACGGGCCTGTACTTGGTGAAAAGAAAGGGAAAAGAGCCTAAAATAAAGCTAATGCAGCCTCTACATCTAAGGACTAAAAAGCTGCAGTATGGGACATTTTTGTTTTTGGGGGAGAAGAGGTTAGATATGCTTTAAAGTTGAGCACCCTTTAATAGAAATTAGGGAGGGAGGTTCGGAATCTTGAAGGGTCCATATTCTCACTTATTAGCTATCGTACACAGCTCTGGGTCAAGTGATCGGTACATGTGATGTGATTCGAGTCACATGACCCCTTTACTGGAGTGCCATGGTTCTGCCTCATACAGTTATTTTTAAGTCCTGGTGACAACAGTTTCACCAGAGTGGAAGTGTTAAATCTTCAACAGCAACACAGACAGAAATAAAAATAGAATAGGGGAAAGCTTGAACCGTTTTCAGCTTTTATTGCAGTCCCTGTTGCAGATTTTCCTCACTTCCTGTTGGATAAACATACTGTCACTGAGACAGTAAATGAGGGAAACCTAACTATTGGAGCCCAAGATAGAAGTAAAAACATGACAGTGGTTCTAATCAACAGCCACTCCATCTAAAACTAAAAAAAAAGTTATTGGTAAAACATAGGGATGCACCGATACCGATACTAGTATCGGTAACGATACCAAGTATTTGGGCGAGTACTCGTACTCGACCAAATGCTCCGATACCTGAACTTCCGGTCAGAGGGAGATCTCCCTCTGACCAGCAATGCCGTAAGGGAGCATGGAGCCGGCTTCCTTTCCAATCAGGAAGCCGGGTGGAGAGTTATGACCCGGCTCCCAGCTTCCTGATTGGCTAGGAAGCTGGCTTTACTTGTTGCTAGGCAGCCTGGCTTCCAGACCAATCAGGAACCCGGGCGGCAGGTCAGGCCATATGAAACACACCAGTTAATTATGTTTTACCTTAAGACAATAAGAGAATACACACTGTAATAGAACAAAGTCATAAGACAAACACATATAAAGCTAAAGTCACATACCAACTTGAATGGCAGACACAATCTTGCTGTGGTCTGAACTCATGGAATAGGTGCTGAGATAAAGAGAAGATCACATACCCGTTAATCTTATAAAATTTGTATCACTTGGATTTCTACATTTTCTTTGATATCATTATACAATGCTATCTATGGAAGTACTTTAATTTATCCCTTTTATGCAAATAATGAAAAATAAAACCATACAATATAGAAAATTAATTTAAATTGAAATAATAAAATGAAATATTTGAAATATTTGTGTAAGAGTGTGTTTAGCGCTGATATCCCCAAATCTAAAACAATATTGAATTTTGTGAACCCCATGAAAATCCTTCCATCTCATATACAAATTGTGGTAATGATATAAAAACCATCACATTATACAGAAAGTGACCATTAGGAAGTCCTTCTTAGTCTGATGATTCTAAAATAACATACGGTTCAGTCTGATTGGTGGTGAAAGAGTATCATACATCATTACTGCTCTGTACACTGCCATATTAAAAAAAGCCAACCACAAACACTTTATGCTTTGGACATTGTAGAATGTTGGGTGTTTGATACACAGTTAAGATATATTCATTCGATCATATTGATGCAAACAAAATGTTACCTGCTGTTTTCAATGGCATCCACAACAGAATCCTTCCTGAAGGCCTCTTGAAGACTCTGATGTATAACATACTGGGCTGCAATATCGTCATCCAGATCATCGCTGAACGTAGATAAGTCCATCGTCTAGAGAACACTGAAGGAGAAAGATGACATTTAAATCTAGTTTGCAATGCAATGAAAATATTGCACTGTAATATAATATTATCTTTTCCCCAGACAACACTGGTAATGACATAAGAGATTGTGTCCTTTTACTGTCTCTAAAGCTGGCCACACATGCTACAACCTTCATTAGGTATATTAACATATTCGGTATTAGGAACTCTACTTAAAGTGATATTAAAGTCAAAAGGTTTTCAAGATATTTCACATGCTGATGAAATCACTTACAATGGATGCTGCTTCTTGATGTTTAAAAGTTTTAGTTTCCTGTAGAATCAGCTGGTCCCCTGAGCACTGGCCCTGATATCCTGTTTTAGGGCTAGTTCACACCAAGCGCCTTCCAGGAGCAGAGCAGAGCAGTTACAGAACGGATCAAAACTGCGTCCAATGTATTCCAATGGTATTTTGGGCTCTAGTTCACACCGCAGCGTTCAGTTCCAGAGCATGTAAAAAAACTGCAGCAAGCTCTATTTTTCCTCCTCTGGAAAGCTCTGGAACGCATGCAAATGCACCAAAATGCATGCAAACGCCCTTTACACAAACGGCCCGGAACGCATAAAAAACGCTGCAAAAAACACGGCATAACACTGCACTGCGTGTGCAGAAATTCATGCAGATCTGGTCTGCATTTGGTGTGAACAAGCCTTTAGGGCGGATCCTTTCCCTTGCAGGGTCCTATGAAGCCACCCTTGTGTGTGCTAGTAAGCTGTGTGTCCTCACAAACATACAACCACAGCAAGGCAAGACACTCCTCCACTCCCCACTCTGCCTTCCTCCTTCCCCCTCCTCCAAGCTAGTAAATTGACAACTGCTGTAGACCATGCCCCCTGTGTGATCACTGGACAGGAAGAGCATGGAAACCGAACAGGGAGAGTTGGAGCCAGCCATTTGGAAACATGATGACTGTCAGTGCTTGGGCAAAAATATCAAGAAAAACTTTGCTGGGCAATATATATTTGTTGGATCTGGATTCAATATCGAGAAAAAGTTTGAGAGTTTAATAGTACTTTAAACAATGTGCTCTATTGCAATCAGGCAGCCACTCACACTACATGGTCCTTGGTAGATCTATAGGTTGCAGGATCAGACTGTAACATGTGTGGCTAATTTTACATGCATTGGTTGGAATGGTTGTTTTATACAAAGCCAGAATTGTCTTAGAATAACTGCAGTATCATTGTGAAGAAGTGTGTTTTTGTATCTGAACAAGCTTTGTGTTGTGCTGGCACTTTATACATTGCCATTGTTACAGTTATCATTACCCATTGGCCACTCACGCTGTCCGCGTTCTTGTTAATTACCTAAATAATTATATTATATTGCTACAGTTGCCATCTGTCATTTATATCATGGTCAATCCCTGGAAAAGTCCCTGAGTTTGTTTTGCATGTTGTAGTTTGTTGGCTATTTTAAGGTACTATTTATTAGGGGCAGCATTCCATACTATAGCATTTCCCCACTATGGTCCTCAAAGACTTCTAAAATCAAAACTACAGTTGTCATCACAAATGAAATGATTAAAATGTTGCCTTATGTTACTGACTAATTATCCTGTGCACCCCGTTTGGGTAATAATGGTGTATTCAAGTTCTATAAACAAGCATTGATGGGATGTAGAACTAGAGAGTAACCTGACACAGGGTTATGGTTGATGAGCATATTGGTCAGCAATGGGCAAGTGTGTTGCTGAGGAACCATGGACCTAAGTGGCTAAGGAATACCCAAAACAGTCTTTGCTTCCCTAAAAGAACCAATCAAGATTCTGCATTTCTAGTGTAGGAAAACAAAAGGGAGAACCTGATTGTTTATTATGGAGCTAGACACTTTTTCCGTCAGCCTTCTGCATTAATACTACTTGATGATTAAAAGGAAAACTATGGGGTTAGCGATTTCCACTCGTCTCCATGGTTAGAGCCGACATGTGACATTGAAACTGTCATACGTCGGCTCTATTGATCGGGTAGTGAGTGAAAACATACAGCCGATCCGCTAATTTCCTGACCCTCTCCCCGCAGAGAGCGGTGATCTCTCCCCGCAGGGATTCCCCCCTCCCCTCTCCGATCCTCCAGCGCTAGAGGCAGAGCCAGCTGTCAATCAGCCAGCTGGGTGGATCTTGACAGCATTGTCGAGATCCGTCCCAACTGCGGCACTCTCAGCATAGAGCGGGCAACAGCCTGCTATTTGCTGAGATTTGGGTCACGGGAGGACACAGTATATGTTCTCCAGTGACCCTGAGTGGAACTATGGAAAAAAAGGTTACCCCATAGTCCTCCTTGAAGACAGGCCCAGGTAACCTTTGCACTCCAGTTGTTGTGGAACTACAGGTCCCGTGAGGCATTGCAAAACTCTGTCAGCCTCAGGCATGACCTCCAGAAGCATGAATCCTATGTAAAACCCAAAAAACTGAAGATTCTTACCTGATCTGTCAGTGTTTGATTGTGCTCAGTAATCTCCTTGTTTAAACATAAGCTGATCAGGTCACGTTTTCATGTACTCAGCACAGAAAACAGCATTGGTAAAGTGGAGGTCGAGTCATGATGGACAGCTCACTCTTCAGCATAACTCCATGTTTGTTTAGAAGCAGTCATCTCCTGAGTCTTCTCTAGTGACCTATAAATACCTGATCATGAGACAGTCTGCCCCATTTCACGTGGGTGAGCTATGTTTGGTAACACAATCAGGTGGATTACAGCAGAGGAATTAGAAGAGGCTGCAGATCCTGGACTCAGAAACTCATGCTGTGCTGGAACCAAACGACCATTACACAGATTAAAAAATGCAAGATCATAAGGACATACTCAGCAACTGCAACCCTCTATAGTTACCTTTTGTTCCAATATCTACATTATTAACACCTTTCTGTTAACCTAATAAAGCAGAACTAACTTTATTTTTTTACTACAAACACTCTAAACTGCAAGTTAAATATAGTGCATTCATTTATACTTTCAAATCTGTGTTTCTTGTGGCTTTCTCAATGTTTCCCAACTACTGTGCAGGCACTTCAGCAAGACCCGGGATTCTCTAAGACCTCTTGGCTTGAGCTCTGCAAGCTGCAGGCAAGCAGTTCAGAGGTCAAAGGCTTTCCACACCTCCCTCTAGCCATTATGCTCCTCCTTTTGAATAAGAGGAAGGTACTCTGCTAGATAGCATATGAATCAAGCAAAAGATAACACAGATTAACTTTTTAACTTGCAATTTCAGTGTTTGCATTAAAAAGATATACTTTAGTTCTGTTTTAATAGGTTAACAGAAGGGTGTTAATAATGTGCAACAAGTATTTATATGTGATACTCAAATATTTAAAAAGACACTTTTGACCTGCTCATGCAGGGAAAAGTGACTGTTTCCTTGGAAAGGGCATCTCCTGACCCCCATATACTCACTTTTCCTGCACTCCCTAGCAGCTCCTTGCTCCTCAGCAGCCGGCACTAAGATCGGCAGTGTTGGTGGCATCACTCCTTTAGTCATGCAACAGTGCTTGGGCCTAGTGATTGGCTGCGGGGCTCGGGTAACTTAAAAGCTACTACGTCCACAGCTGAATCTCCTGAAGACTTCTTGGTGGCCTCCATCAGCCACATAACTTCCTCATAATTCCAAGTTGTGCCCAACTGCTGCTGCTATTACACAGCCAATTGATGGGGTCCAACTCCCTCAATAGATACATAAGCACATAATTGGGGAGACAAGCTAGAAAGAGAATGACAACATCATTATGGTCTTGTGGGCTGGATAAACCTACCAGGAAATACCACCAGAATTATTCAATAGACGAGAAATATAAGCCAACCTATTCATTTCATAGTGCCCGTACAATACTTTCATGATAAATTTAGGTTGTGTTAGCCTTCAACAAACAAAGATTCGTTTTTCAACTGCTCAGGCTCCTCAAAAAATTGCATTCCTATCACGTCTTTGATGATGGTCGGATATTTTTATTAATGTATTGATAAAAGAGTACCCACACATAAACACGCCCAACAGAACTGTCATAACCAAACATTTATTTTAATATCATTGACCACTGAGCATATGTACATATACTGTATGACCAAACAAACACTAAACCAAAAGTTGTCATCACTGCAGCAACCACATTAAAGTTATAAAAAATGATATTTTCTTTTAACAGAACATTTTCAACTCAACACAATAAAATATGTTTTCCTTTGTTAGATGAATGATGGTTGCCAGGTTTTGTGAAATAGTCAAAATAACTATTTTGTGAAGGTTATGTATAAAATACACATTGCAATTTTGCAATTAAAGAAACTGGAGAGGCAGAAACAAAGGCCAAACAGTCAGTATAACAGTACCTTACATCTAAAGAATTGCTGCATTGGTGGTTACTGATGAAGAGAACGTTTGGTCCTACATGGAGTGGTTGTCTCGATGAGAACTATGGATGGTGAGCAATCTGTCAGCGCACGTTTGGTTTGCAAATGATAGAACGCACTGCTACTTTAATTCCCTATTTTGTACATTTTTATATTATTTTCTGTGTATTCTTTAAGCATTTAAAAAACACTTAAAACAAGCCCTCATTCACCTCGGTAGCCATGGGAATTGTGGAGAAATGTATCTTCAAAGTTTACTACAGAGGCACTGAAATCACAACTATCTTTTAGGGCCGGTTCACACCATAAAGTCCACGTTCCAGTGCGTTCGGCCTCTAGAAGACACTGGAACGCAAGGCGGCCGGCTCCCTGTGTTCAGGGGCAGGAGGGGCCGTGGCGGTGCATTAAAGTCAATGGCACCGCAGCCACGCCCCCTTCTGCAGTGCGATTGCCCGCACCCAGAACACAGGCACATTAGTGTGATCTGCAAAAAAAGTGCATGCACCATTTTTGCAGAACAGACTTTATGGTGTGAACCGGCCCTTATGAAGCAGGTGTTTCTAGGCTATTAGAAGCTGACTAAGACCCGGCTTTAGTGTCTTTAGTGTTATTTCACAGTACAAGTAGCTATAGAGGTCAGTGATGGTTTGTTTCAAATCTCTTTTATTGCTTGTTAAGAATATGAAAATACTTTAATGTCCATAGCCTGGGCACAGGTGTACTTTAAAGTGAAATACCAATGGTACTTTATAATTTGGTCTTATTCAGTGAAGCAGGGCAAAAAACAATGAAAATGTTTAAGGTGCAGTAACTTATAGCAGCCAGTCAAAAATCGCTAATAAACTGATATAAACACAGTAAACAAAAACTTTATATGTTGCTATGGGTAACTGTACTTTGCTTTTCCTCACTGCTCTTTATGCTGCCTTGTTAAACAAGTCTGATTGTCTGACATGTACTAGACTACTGTACTAGACTGCTGTACATATGCACTTTTTATAAATTACTTTAGAGTTTAATTATAATAAGGATCATAAACAATATCAAATAATTACACAAGATTATAAAAGTAGATAATACATTACACGATAAGGTGATGTCAGCATATTTTTTCATACATATGAACAAAGAAATTAAATTTGGGTATACTAGGAAAAGGACTCTGAATGACTTTGCATTGCCATAAAAGCCAATATGGTTTTGACTGCACTTGTTTTCTCAAACTTGCAGTAGAAAAATGAAAGATGAGATCTGGTAGATAGCTCTGGGGCAACATATCCTCTTCTTCTATGAAATATGCTGGTGAGTGTGTTCTTAGTCATCGAGCTGGCAGAGGAGGGCAACCCCTCTCTTTATCCAATGTTGTACTGGTTTGTCTATTGGCAGCAGCATAGCAATGACAAAGTTGGTGGAGTGGCCTGTGGTGGACAGGGTTCCCTTTCGTTCACTGGTCTTGTAGAGAGGACACACATAGGACTTGGTCTTCTTTATTTCAGATTTTTTACCTAGAGACACAAAAATATTGGGCATGGATTACGTATACATTTTCAAGGTACTCTGTGACTAAATTATGTTTCTTTAATTCTCTTCAGTGTTTTAATTTATTCTGATTTACTTATAAAACATGCTACTATGCACTTCTCTCCAGTGATCCACCTTCCAGTGATCTACATTCTCTCCAGTGATCCACCTTCCAGTGATCTACATTCTCTCCAGTGATCCACCTTCCAGTGATCTACATTCTCTCCAGTGATCCACCTTCCAGTGATTTACATTCTCTCCAGTGATCCACCTTCCAGTGATTTACATTCTCTCCAGTGATCCACCTTGCAGTGATCTACATTCTCTCCAGTGATCCACCTTCCAGTGATCTACATTCTCTCCAGTGATCCACCTTCCATTGATCTACATTCTCTCCAGTTATCCACCTTCCAGTGATCTACATTCTCTCCAGTGATCCACCTTCCAGTGATATACCTTCCAGTAAGCCACCTTCTAGTTCCCAACATTATCTCTGTCTTGCTCACTTGGTTGTCTTCCTCTATTACCTCTCTACTATTTTCATAGGGTTCATCTTCAACTCCAGCTATCTGTGTTAACCTCTGAACGACTCCACTATCTTCTAATTCAACACTGTACTCCCTTCCTACGACCTTTAATATTTTTTACTTTCCCACTGTACTCATTTCCAACCATCCATACTATCTTTCCCACTGTATTCCCTTCTGACCATTCGTACTATCTTCTGCTTCCCATGTGTACTTGCTTCTAACAACCTATACTTTTATCTCCTCCCAAATGTCCTTCTTTCCAACCATCTGTGCTCTCCTCTACAACCTATATGATCTTCTACTTCCACACTGTACTCATTTCTAACCATCTGTACTACCCTCTACTTGGTTACTGTACTAAATTATATCTGTACTATCTTCCAGTTCCCCACTGTACTACCTTTTAACAACCTATATGATGTTTTACTTCCCCACTGTACTCAGTTCTAACCATCTATACTATCCTCTTCTTAGTACTCAGTTCTAACTATCTGAACTATCTTCTAATTCCCCACTGTACGTCCTTCTAATTATTTGTACTATTTTCTATTTCATCCATGTAATAGCTTTTAATTCTACTATCTTCTACTTCTCCACTGTACTCCCTTCTAACCACCTGTACCATTCTCCACTTCTTCGTTGTAATATCTAATAAGTACTATCTTCTATTTTGTCACTGTACTGCCTTCTAACCACCTGTACTACCACCTGTAATATCTTCCAAGTACTAACATCTATTTCCCCAATGTACCATTTTCTAACAGGTTTTAATATCTTCAACCTTCTGAGTGGTCTATCCTCTAATTAAGTTGACTATCTTTTGCTCCATTACTATACTTGTTTCCAATAAGCTCTGCTATCTGCAACTTCATCCCCTGGAATAGCTGCTAGTAAACTCTACTATCTTTGGTCTGCCAACTGCACTTTCTACTAACCATCCCTACTACTGTCTACATTTTCATTATATTGTCACCAACCCAACTTTAATATCTGCTACTTTACCCCAGGCACTATTTCCTAACCAGTTCTACTATCTTTTTCCTCCCCACTATACAATCTCCTAATCAATTCTTCAGTCTATTACTACCTTTCTAACCAACTCTACTGCCTTCCACTACCACCACTCATGCCCTCTTTCATTTCTTCCTCGGCTTCGAACTTTGTGTAATATAATGTCTAGTTTGTCCTCATACTCATTGCATGAGAAAGTAAAATAGGACAATGTCCTTCTACTCTGCTATACAATCTACATCTGTCCTACCTTTCTTCCTCTCCATCATCCTATAAAAGCTCTATCTTCATGTTGTGATCTTTTCTTTGCTCATCTCTCATTATTATTTA